GGGGGGGGGGGGTCGCTTCCGAGGTATTAATCACGTCGGGAAAACGGAAGGCGCCTTTAAGAAGACGTTGCCAGCGCCGTTATCGTCCTAATCGAGACGCACACGGCGAGAAATACGCGTGTGTGTGCGTGCGCGCGTGGCACTCGTGCATCCTTAAGCAGCGAGTATCAAGGAAGGAGCGCGCGATGATAAAACCCCGTGGCGGCCTACAGCCGGCAATAAATGTTTCGTGGCTCGTAAAAATGTTATTGCCTTCTGTGCACGGCGCGATACCAGAAGACACAGCGCTCGCGAAAGCGAAGGGGGGACGCCGGGAAGAGACACTCGCGCCAGAACCCCGGCAAATTCGTCGCGAACGCTCGAGCGTCGGCTGGAACCTACGCGCAAACGAGCCGCGGAATGACGACGCGAGGAAAAGGGAGAGGAGCTCGAGAGTGAAAATGAAGAAATTTCGCACGAGTCCGCTGGTTTCCTGCGCGGTTCCGCGCGGCTCGACGCGAGATCTTGGATTTCACTCTCGGCGGAAACACTGCAGGGTGCGTCCGGTAATCCTATTCAACGGGTAAAGCAGCGTTTATTAACCAATTATGATAAAGGAATCTTTGTATCTTGATCGGTCAATTAAACGCTATTTTCCCCTGTCGAGTGGGACTTCTAAACGCACCCGAGCAGGTAAAGTTCTAGATAAATAGAGAAGCAACATGTCCGCCTTTGACGAATGGTGATTCTCGGTCTTCCATCAACGTTCTGATTTATCATCGAAGCGGAAAATTGCACCGAATTTTTTAATTGACCCTTCAATGCAATCCTTCCACCTCGCCGAGCGGAAGAGAAAGTATGATTCCTGTTACGGTTTCATATTTGTTTTCTGTCCACCTAAATAATCGTTTTATCAAAATCGTGTAATTTGCGAGCTACATGTCCATAGCGAACGTTTTTTAGCAGGCCTCTGATTCTATCGAGGTCACTTTTTTCAAATATATAGAGCGAACGTAGTTTTTATTCGTTCAACTATTTGCTCGAGTATCGATCGAAATATGTGCGGTGAAAAAAATAACAGGCAACTGACCGCTAGACCCCGGCGTGTGCAACAAACTTGGACCGTGAATAATTAAAAAATGGACCTCGTGACGCGAGTCGACATATTTCGCGACTAGGAATCGCCTATTTTCCGCCGGTGCGGCCCATTACTCGGGAACTCGCTACGCTTATAATGCATACAATGCAACACACATGGTCAGACTTGGCGGCACGTGGGTTAGACGGCTTCGGCTCGAATGTCCTTAAGGGAACTCGGAAGTTGGCTCGGAATATCGCGAGGAAAAAAAGTCGTCGGGGCGAGCGAACGAACGAACGAACGATCGACACACCTCCCTTGTATGTAATCCGAGAAATGGCATTCGTCATCGCGAGGTCGGGCTATTATCAAGCTCGCAAGACAAATAGAATGACAGCACCCGACGGAAGTGAAAGATCCAGGAAGTGTTACGCGCGATATCGATAACGCGACTTTCCAGAGCGGCTGAGAGCTTTTACTTATAAATATTCTAGTGAGTTTATTCTAGGAAGATTTTTCGAAATAATAAACGAGGCGACGTGGGGAAGCAGGACCGATGTAGTTGGCGGCGATCGAAGGAGCCAGAGGAGAACAGATTCTTACAAAATAGCAAAAAGAACGTATTTAAGAAGTATATTAAATAGGTTCTCTTGATATTCAATTATATAACAAAATACGTATCTCAGGCCTATATTATGAAAAAAAAATTATAAAAATCGTGATTTTTCTGCACTTTCTTGGCCTTTCGTAAATGATTAAAAGCCCTAATAGAAGAGGTAGAATCTAATAATATCAAATGATAATAATTCATTTGATATCCTTTCAAATAATTAATACAAATGTGAAATCCAAACCCTTGACAGAAAATTGGATGAGAAACATCGAAGGGGTTAACAAACGAGGGTAGTGCAGAGGGTAGTGCCGAGTTTCTCGCAGCTATCGGGAAGTTTTGCGTCGCCAGGACGACACCCCCGGCATTTTTTCCTCCCCGCTACGATGCTCCCTCTCATTCGGCGGCGCCGCTAATATCGCTATATAATCTGTCGCCGTTCTCCCGAATGAATAACCCGCCGCGCGCGGCTAATAAAATTCCCCGGCCGGCGAAATGTTGTCGGTCGCCGTCGCCTGAGAGCGTCGTTCGCCCGCGCGACAGAAGTTTCCCGGCTGATGCGTTTTTCACGGTGGCACGGGATACTGTCTACATAAAGACACATGGCCGAGAGTCGGCCCGGGGGCGAAGGAAAGGCTTTCCCGCTGGCGCGTCGCTTCATTTGTCTTTATATTAACGCCGCTGTAACGCCGCGTAACGGCGTTATGACGACACGCAACGTCGGCGTCTACACCCCGCGATACAACTTTTTTCACTCCCCCGCCGACCATTCCGCCTCCTTATGAACGCACGCCGCCGTTTTTACGAGGAAACGTTGGAGAAAGCCGGCCCACGCCAGAACTGCCCCTGATTTCAAATTATTACACGCGCGAACGTCGCCGGGGTGCGGCGTCTCCCGGAAAATTACGTTTCCCGCACCGCCGCTGTGGAAGACGCACAATGATCATGACCGGAGGTAAAAAGGGGAGAGAGAGAGAGAGAGAGGTAGGAGGGTGTAAATTTACTCACGATAAAAAAATATTCAACCGGAATATCGAATTAATTTTTTACGACGCGGATATTTCGCAGCGAAAATATATACGAGGGTGAAACCGAGAGGCACCGTAGCCGTGTGTGTGCGTGTGTATGTGTGCTCGGTCGTTTTAATCGCTTTGACGTTTAATAAATGAAACATACCGTAGAGTTCGGAGTTTCAGCGCGCCGCAGAGCGCGTAGTGATATAAATGAATCGCGTAATATCGCGACGTCGGGGCGCAAAAGCGCGTAAAATCTCGGTCGGTCGCCTGGCACGCATCAGCGCGATAATTGCGGGCCGAAGTTTCCTAGTGCAAATTCGTGTTGCTCGTGGCCGAAGTATCGAATTTATAATAGACGCGAGAGGCGGAAACGCCGTCTCTCTCTCTCTCCTCTCGATACGACGCGGCGACGAGATACGTCGATATCTCTTCGGCGTAGATACGTATAAGCTAGCGGTAGGTAACTTGCAGCAGCGCGGAGAGAATAAAGTTTTCTGCCGCGCGCGTATGTATAAAGTAATACCGATACGTGAGGTCGGCTCCTTTCGCGTCGGGGGCGGTATTGGATGGCAGCTCCCAGGGGGTTAATTTCGCGCCGAAGGGTGGAAAATATTCACGGTTCCTTAAAATCCGACGAGGCTGTCTCTTACGAGCTCCCTCCGGGGTGGCGTTACGCAAAACGGTCACTCAAAATACCAGGACACCCCTCGCTCCTCCGCCTCGCCCACCATTTCCCGCTCGCCTGTGGCAATCGTCCCTTAAACCGCGTCAAGCTCACCCCTGATTTCCATTTCGGGGCTCACGTTGAAGAGTATTTTGTTATAATTATGAAATAGAGTAAACTTTATTATGCTCCGGGGTAAATCCCTGTGAGAGCAGCAATTAAAATGAATACACGATAAAGGTACAGACAGTCGTCGTCGAAGAAAAGGGAAGAAAAAGGCGTACGATTGAGAGAAGAATAAAGGCAACGATGAAACGCGCCAAACGTCGATATAATAGTGAACTAAGACGCAGAGGTGAAAATGACATTGGCGGAAAACTATTGCTTTGCAATTGAAAATAATAACTATATAGCTCATTTTCACGATACCAGCGATGGTGTTTTTAAAGGCAGCGAATTTCAATTCGTAATGCCTGTGTATAATTAGAAAAAAAATTCGTGAGAAATGTTCAGTTCGATGTTCATAAATAAATAGGTCGTAGCATTGGCGAAAGTTCGCAGACCGCAGCACGGTCGTGTCGGAGCTTCATCTTCATGAAAGTTCGTCGCGCGATATTTTCCGTTTTTCTGCTACTTTTGCGACCAGCCTTCGCGCTCATCACGCAATGCGCTTGTGTTCGGTTTCAGTCGATCCGGTGCACGGTGAACGGCTGCGCCTGCGAGTCCTTCACGCCGGGGAAACGTCACCTGCGCTACTGCGAGAACTGCCACCACGGCTGGGTGCCTCACGGTAAGTCCGAGCCTCGACATACCCATCTCGCCCCTCGAATTGAACGCGAGCGTATTGTGCCGCTCGGCGATATTTCGAATTCGCGTTTTCATCTCTCTCCGCGCGAGTATCTCTCTACAGAGAAATAAAAATAGCATGGGGGAGGGTGGGAAAGCGAGAGAGAGAGAGAGAGAGCGGGGAAAACGATCGCGGGAAGATTTTCCCGGGGATATTCCGGCCGCTTGGTGTCGCGTGCGCGCGCGGTTAAACGCAAATTTTCCGACTGTCAGCATACTTCATCCGACGGGCCCTCAGGGACGAAATTCAATTTTCCAACGATGACCACCGCCCATCCCTCGTTGAGCATCGCGGCCGGCCGCGCGCTATCTCTTTGTAGAAACTCGCGCGTCTGCGCGGCCACACACCCACGTGTACTCGCGAATATACGCGCGTATATACCCGGCGATACGAGACGCCGGGAATACTTTATGCCATCGTAAGTTCCTCTCGAATGTGTGCGGAGGGGGTCGATCTCCTCCACCCCGGTCACCACCCCGACCGACATCGTCAGGGGGCTATCTCGACACTCGCTCTGTGCTCACGCACACACGCGTGTACGCCAAGCCGCGCTTAAAATTCCGCCTGGCTGACCCGCGATAGATTGGACGCGGCGCGGCATGGAATACATATCAATTTCGGGCTTCCTTCCGCACCGGCCCCGCGGGAACGCGCTTGCATCCTTTCTCCCTCTCTCCTCGCCGGTCCGTTGGCGTTCCTACGGAACGAAAGGTGTCGCAACCTCCTCCGGTGCTGGCGTACACCGGTGTCTCGTTGCGCAAAAAGCCGGGAACTGCGGCCGATTATTTTCGCGGACCGAGCGTCCTATTCGCGCCGGCGGTGTGCTCGTCGAAGGCGGATTAGAGCGATTAACGTAACGCGTTAAGGCCGAGGTACGCGAGGTGCATAATCAACGAGATATTCGAGTAGCCATGCGCGCATTTATCTCTCGCTCGCCGTTTACGCGCCGGCTGTGTTTCGCGTAAGTTTTTACGCCGCGGCTAGTCGAGTGCGTAATCGCAAGGAGCGTGTAACGGCCGGTCATTAGCAGCCCCGCGATCTTTGCCCGCTGCCGGCGATGGGAACATCGAAGGGAAAAGAAAAAAGAAAGAGAGCGATTCCGTTGGCGTATCGCGCGCGACCGGTCGCGTTGCTGTCCGACGAATCCGCGAAATTGACGTTTCACAGCGGATAATTGCCTATTTCGCCGATCACCCGTTTCTCCCGTCGGGGGACTCCGCGCAGCACGAATTCGACTTCTCAAGTAACCGGAGTCTTTTAACCCTTTCGCTGCGATGGATATATCCTTCGCTGATAAATGTCTTCTCACTTGCACACGTCACGTATATATACGTCGCGGAGAGTCACTTGCGGACGCTGCGTACGTACCGCATCTCGTTTGAATCTGGATATTAATTCAGCGTTCACTTTTCACGTGATATATTTGTATTATTCCTCAACGTATTCGCCTTCTGTTAAATAAACACGAAAATCTGCGTGGACCGTTTCGGACGTATACGAGGCGTGTTGAGTTTAAAGCAAACTTCTTTGCCGCCTCGTACAATTGAATACTATACTGCGCGCTGCGAAGGGGTGAATTCCCCGCGATGCCGGCCAGGAGCCGAGTCAAGTGCCGCACTGTGTCAAACGCGAAAGTTAGGCGGCGAGCATTGTTAGCTGCCACCGGACGTCGCGGCGACGCCGACGGCTAGAGGGCCGTGAACGAAATCACGAGTAGTGCACTGGCAAAGGCCTTTTTAAATTGTAATGAGCTGCCAAAGAGTGAATTATGTGCCGTCCAAGTGCCATCGAGACCTCGGCGAACCCCATCCTATAAAACCCCGCGCGCGGTGCGCACACGCGCGCATGTATATATATATATATATATGTATCCCGACATCCCTGTGGCCGCGCCTCGGCCACCCCACGTCATGAATATATTTACATTGATCGGCCGTCTCGGCATTTTTCATTTGGCTCGTCGTTGTGTCGGACGAGAGCCCGAAGTATGTCCATCCCTTCGATACTTTATTTATATCGACGGGACGTGTCTGTCTTTTTGAGGGCCGCCACTCTCCATGCAGTTTTCATCGGGAACTCGCGTATGAGCGATGAATCCGGCCCGACGCTAATGATCCTCCGCCCGGTCTCTCCGCGCCCGGAAATCCCTGGAGTTTTTAACAAGACGGCTTCCCGGCTCGCCCGTATTCGCGAGATGCGTATCGTTACACGCACACACGCGATTCTCGCTCGGCATCGAGAGCCGCGTCGCGCGCGTTCGTGAGGTAGATTTTAACAACTATGATATAAACGGCTTGCGCGGTGTTGAAGCGGCGCGTGATCGGCCGATCCACGAGGAATCCAGAATCGCGGATGTTTAATTAAAATCCCTCGCTTTTATCCCTCGTCGTTAACTTCGGCCCGTATTCTCGACTCATTTTTATTCATCAAAGTGCCCGTAGAATAGCGTAGAAATCATTTGATCGGCTGAGAAACCACGTTTAAAAGCTCACCTTTATCGGTGAAAGTTAGTTGAGAATCTAGGCTTTCGTGGATTATGTGAACCCTTGTCTCCGACGGAATATTTTTAGACGCCCGTTTCAACCCTCGAGAATAACATCCGCAGTTTTGACGCTGAAGTAACATCACAGGCCGCTCAGGCTGGGCATCATCGAAAAAAAATGATAAAAATCAACCACGACCGCGCGATACGTAATCTCGTGCTTCGATTAGAAGCAAAAAAAAAAGGATCTCCGTGCTGCGGGTTGCGATAAAGCGCGCACGCGCCATCACCATCGAGGAGTAACCTTGTGAGACCATTACACGCGGATTAACTTAAGCCGCGTTTTATGTACGTACGTACAATGTCCGTGCCGCGCACGAGAGAACGACCGAGCTCTCCCTTGCCTCCCCCCTTCGTTCTCTCTCTCTCTCTCTCTCTTTCTCCCGTCGTTTGGTAAAAATCGCGGGGAAGTAGATGCGCGTCTAATGAGGGGTTAGAACGGACGGCACGGGGGTACAGTTACGCGATTAAAGCCTCGATGTCGAGGCATATAGGGTCCCTCTTTCTCTCCACCGCGGCGTAACCTCGGCGATAAGAGGATACGCGCGCGCGTACTCTAAATTCCAACGCCCTTCCTGGTAATATACGCCGGGGCAATTTAGCGTACGCCCGTTGAGAGAGCGCGAGAGGCAGGAGTTTTCCGAAGTTCGCCTTCAATACTTTACGTGCCTGCGCGAACCGGTCATCTCGATGTTCGCCGGCCGGCCGGTCGTCCACAATCTAGTCCAATTAAACGTTTTTCACCGCGCTCGCGCGCAAGCACGATCGTCTGTCCAGTATTCGGTTTACCCGTGCGTCTTTTTAGCGTGCCCGGCCGTGTATATCGCGGCGGAACCCGAGTCATAAAGCCATCGATTACGCTCCGTCGATAATGAGTAGTATCCTTTATTACCCGGCCCGATGTATCCATGCGAAGCTCCCTTTTTCTCGCTCGCTCTCTCTCTCTCTTTCTCCCCCCCTCCTCTCCTTCCCTCTTTCTATCGTTCGAACGACGGCCGACGGCCGCGATCGTTCGCTAACGCGCGTTGACAGAGCCGATTAGTATCGGCCGTACGACAACGTGTCTCGCGGTATCGCGCGAGATGCGCGTAATCAGGTTGAAGGGAAAAGGAAAAAAGGCGAAGGAGAGCGGAAGAAAGGGAGGACGGATAAATAAACAGCGCTTCCCGCTTTCGGTGATTAATCCCAGACTTCCGAATCTCGCCGGTTGTTCGACCGCCTTGCGCAGCGCACGAATCACTCGATCGCTCACGATTTATCAAGCGGCCCTGCGAATAGGGGGATGCTCGCTGTTGTTTCTGCGGCATCGTAACAGTCAGATTCTGTCCGGAGAGCCGACGGACATCTCGATTTCACGTTTCGCCTAATGTGGAAGAAGGAGGCGGAACGGGAAGAGACGGGCCTCTCTCGGCTCTCCCGATGCGCGAGAGTGAGAGAGAAAGGGAGAGTCGAGGCGAAGAGGAACTATACAGTTACGAACGGTGACAGGGTTGAAAGGCAACATCTGCGCCTCCATCTGCACCTCTCACGATCGGCAGCTGGCGGAAGGTGAAGGCGAAAAGGGCCCCGCGGGGCCCCGCGAGGAAGACGTCGAACTTTGGCCCGGGCAAAAGGGATACGCGCGCGTCTCGGCGCGTGCACGATAAATCATTAAAAAGGCGTAGCCCGGAGTGACGCGCGCCGCCGTTAATAAACGCGCCACCAAACTGTGAATTACGACGACCGACCGACCGAGCGGGGGTTGCGCTCGCCTCCCCCTCCGCCCCGTCGCGTCGTCTTTGTTTCGCGTCGGCCTGTGACCAGGCTCCACCGGCGACAGGGGGATGATTTACTTCCATTTCGCGAGACACGCACTCGCTATTATTTATCCGCGCGACAAGGCGAGATCGCTCCTTCCAGACTGCCCTCGAGATTCGTATCTCCTTCCGTTCGAGACGGACCGCGGATCCCCTAAAGTCAGCCTATCTCGAGAATGTAGATTGAAGTAATTTCAAGCGACGATTTTCATTCTCTCACGTGTCGTACTTGGCGCTTTCGCTAGTGCGTCTTCACTGACGGTCATAACGCTTCCGTGGCGCGAACGAGGGGAACCCCGAGGTTCAGAGGACCTCGTGGGGGTGCATTACGCGCCATTAAGAGCGCAGGATCGCGTCGCGCCTTTTAGAGCTTGAAACACGGGCCTATTTGTTCTAATACGAAACCGATGCTAATGGCGATATTTCACAGCCGTCTCCGACCACCCTCCCGATCTGCCACCGCCCCTTCTCACCCCCTGCGCCTCCCCGCCGCCGCCTAGGAAACGTCACCATGAATCACAACCGAGATGCTAATGTACCAATTTATCTCGTCCCGACTTTATTAAGACTTACTTTTTCTCCGCGCGAAGGGAACGAAAGACCACGGCC